GAAAGAAAGGGCCCACTGAAGATTACTCGACCACCATTGAGGCCACGAAGACAGAAACAGTAAGTGCTAGAATCAACAGCAACTTCCTGCTCAAATTTCGTGCACCTTTTTGCTATACTCACCTCAATATTCCTCTTTCTGCCTAGACTGTCACGCCGTCCATGGCCAAGAAACAGAAGTTTGCACGAGGAAGCAAGTCGATCATGAGTTTCTTCTCAAAACAGGACTGATCTCCTTTTGTCTACTCACAGAATTTTTATTAAATGTATTTTTTTACTGACGAGAGCAAATGATAAGAATACAATCAATGTATTGTGCGGTCCTCGGGACGAAGATCCCGCTTTAAGCCTTCTTCCTCTTGGTAAGTAACTTCCGTCTGCGGTACTGGACAGCGCCAATGCATGGTTTAATTTTCTTTCGGTCAGTCTGATTAGGGCATTGTCCTTAAAGACCCCCTTAAAAACCGTGCACAATAGTATTCAACTTGAAATATACATGTTACTATAAAATAGTGAGTAACCTATTCACATGGACAAAATATTTTTGTGACTAACGTGAAAGCACGGTACTGTACGAGGTCTCCTTACATTTGCCTGTACTCAAGGGAAACAAGATTAAGTATATCAAGCATGCATTCTTATGATCTTCGCTGCAGTTTTTTGAAACCTTTCCAGCAACGTTAACTGCTGATTTTCGCAATGTGATTTCGATGAAAATGTTGGAGGTAGGAAACTTTAGGAGGCTACCTTCAGTTATTAATTGTATCCTTCGGTTAAGAAGGAGTTGCAGTAACATTTGTGCTGTGAGAATGCAGGAGTTATTCTGTTCAGGCAAATTTGGTGGTCTGGACGTGAAAAGCGAAACGACATTGAAAGTCACCGTTATCCCACCTGTCACATGTGTTATTCCTCGTAATTCGTTTAAAAGCTGTAGGATTGCAAATTCGACAATTTTTTATAAGTGCGTGGAGCTGGTAAAATAGCCATTTATGAGTCTCATGAATTGAGACAAGTGTTCGCATTCCATGTATGTGTATGGATCGAGAAGAAGAAGAAACCGTGTCGATCACCGGAGTCTTTATTTGTCTGAGTTTTCGAACGCTTGCGGGAGTCCATCGTCAGAGATAAAATCGTCAGCGAAATACAAGCAACACGGAGGAGGGACAAATTAACCACCAGTGCCGTGAGTCTGGAAATGCCTGCGCAGGGCGATGTGTGCGGGCGCAAGCTCTGTACACCGGTTGACTGAGTTGTCATCCGAGGCCCAAGCTTCAATCAGTTCTCGGCCTGTCTTGTTTCCGGCATAGGCAATTATCGTCGTACCTGCGAAGTTTCAACTCGTGACCTGTCTCATAACTGTGGGCAGCCACTTGCGATAATAGGTCACCCCATTGTACAGCTAGCTTTTGTTTGTGTACTCACGAACCTAGTATGCGCCTAGTCTGCCCCGTGTAATTTGTGGGACAGTTTAGACATGGTATGTGGTGCGCTACGTCCGACTGCTCATTACAATTCAATCGATCATTGATTCTCATGACCCGACTGCGCATGGTAGCCTCGAGACGGTGTGCAATTCCGTCGCCTTGTCCGGCGGCAATGCGCCTGGTCGCCTCCGGCACATTCTTGATGTATGCCAGCGCATGCCATATCGTAAGTGTTGCTTCTGGTTGGGTTCTCGGAAGGCGAGCGCGTAGGCATCGACTTATGAAGGCCTTAGGATGGCCATTCCGCATAAACTTTGCATCGGAGATGAACCTTTTGATGATGTCGTAGGTCGCACTTGGCCATCAACTTTGTGTTACACAAGCCATCACACTGACGGGCAACTGTTTAGTCGACCTGCCGCTGTATGACGCACCTGCGAAGGGTTCGACTCATCCGTGGATCCTACAGGTTTTAAACGTTAATGACCATATGATTCTGGTTCTAATTCTCAGTTATTCGGACCCGGGATTAGGTATAACTGACTGAAGATGGCTAGCAAACCGGAAATCTTCGTCCTATTTTACCTTGTCTCTATCGGTAGCTCTTCCCGCACACAGTAGATTTCCTATCTCCTGAGGTATCAACAAAGAACCTGAAATGTGATTCGCGTAGCCTTGTCATACTTATTGTCGTATAGCCTAAGCCAAAAATATTTCATTCAGATCAGAGCGTTGGCTTATGAACTAGCTGCTATTCAGCCGCCTGCAAAAACTACTACTTAAATAGGGGGCATGTTCCCATTGATTTTTGGAGCCCGCTTAGTTTCCAATAGAATTTATAGAAAACATGCATGGAAATACCCCTTCTCGTACTCGGTTAGTGGAAAATTATGCCTTGTAGCTTTTTTTAAATTTCGGAGTTGGAGTATACTTGCCTCCGATTTTCACGAGCTCTTATCCTCGGAATATGGGGGCCCCAATTCTATTCAGTTTTATTGATTAACGGAAAGGTAAGCAAATGCCTTTGCATTCCATATTGGTTATACTAAATTCGCAAAAGAAAACCACCGATACATTATAAACATTTGGTGGGCAGGTTGCATACAACAAGCATTAACTGTTTGGTGTCAATGTATGCGTGGGCTGACAGCATTGTGGATGTATCATGAACGGTTACTTAAATATGGTGAGTAGCCATGTCATATACTTTTTAACATCGGACAGAAAGCACTAGAACACAAATTGCCACCCTATAAGGCATTTGACGAAACAATTATAAAATAATTATACCTTGGGTATGATCCTGTTGTGCAGACGTAAGTGGGTGGCCCTGTCGCTGTTGACGCCTAGTGCATACTTTTGGAAGGATCTGGAGTGAGGAAATTATATGTACATCCAACGGATTTATTACTGTACGGCGGTTACTTATCTGATTTAGGGGCGCATTTTATGCGTAGGGTTATGCTGGGACAAACGTTTAGGATTGGATTTAAAAATGAATATAAAAGGTTAAGAATTCGTTTAGGGGTTAGAGCTAAGATTAGGCAACGGAATTAAGTTTTCGATTTGGGACTTAAGGTTTATTCGATAAAGTTTTATGCTTAGGGTTAGAAATTAGGTTGGGACTAGGGTATTGGGCTCAGTGTTTGTCTTCGGGTTCAAGATTAGCTTATTTTGGGGTTAGCGATTAGGGTTCGAGATAAAGGTGTAGACTATGCTTGGAGGCTTTGATTTGCATCGCTTTCTGTGCTCATATCTGCTGTCATATGGACAAACTGGTGCGGTGTTTCATCTGTGTGGGTTCCTTTGCAGAGTCCGTGATCTACTTTAAGACTCTCTTTCTATAGGTGACCTTGGTTTGTTTTCCTCACTGATTCCTTTCTATAGTGTACACAAAAACTGATGAGGTCTGGTTGAACTGTCTCGATCATGTTGTCTACAAGAAAATACTACTAAGATGGAGTTTGAGTAATGATTAGCATTTCGAAGAAGTAACTGAAAAAGTGGGACGATTAAACATTAACAATAGTAACTAGCCTGGTCACGATAAGATCACCCAACGCGAAGGTTTACAGCAAAGCATGGTAGCCATTTGTTATGGGCTTTTAGTAAATTTACAACGACAAATAATCACTCGGGAACATCAAACCATGAGATTTTGAGAACTAAAACAAAGTAAATGCGGTCGGTTAACTGAGCTGTAACGTTTTTTCTGTGAACACTGTTTTGCGGTGTTTCAACTCGGTGCGTTACTTGGGCTACCGTCATCTTTCGTTCCACCCGTAAAACCCCCTCTTTCTACCAGTCGCGTACCACAGTGGCCCTTGGCTTGTGTCCCCCCGCTGGACTTACATATCCGATCCTCAACACATCCCGTATAACCTCATAACAACGACCGGTTCTATTTGGTTCCTCATAGGAGGCTCCTAGCCAAACTAGAGGCTATAGGATTTCGTAGT